TCCTCGTTTTGAAGACACGGTCCCCGCGTCCTCCTCTCCTCTCGTCTCCTCCTCTCCTCTCGTCTCCCCCCCCTCTCTCTCCTCTTCACCCATCCAGTACACCGCTTCGTGGCCCCATAGGGAGCTCCGCCGAAGGCCCTAGTGCTGCCGCCCGCATGCGTCACCCACACCCACTGCGGCACACCCCTCGCGCGTTTCGTGGCCCCGTAGGGAGCCCCACCGAAGGCCCCAGCGCTGCCGCCCGCATGCGTCACCCACACCCAATTCGGCACACCCCTCACACGCTTCGTGGCCCCATAGGGAGCCCCACCGAAGGCCCCAGCGCTGCCGCCCGCATGCGCCACCCACGCCCACTTCGGCACACCCCCCACGCGCTTCGTGGCCCCATAGCGAGCCCCGCCGAAAGCCCAAGCGCTGCCGCCCGCATGCGTCCCGCACACCCAATTCGGCACACCCCTCACACGCTTCGTGGCCCCATAGGGAGCCCCACCGAAGGCCCCAGCGCTGCCGCCCGCATGCGCCACCCACGCCCACTTCGGCACACCCCTCACGCGCTTCGTGGCCCCATAGGGAGCCCCGCCGAAAGCCCAAGCGCTGCCGCCCGCCTGCGTCCCGCACACCCATTTCGGCACACCCCTCACACGCTTCGTGGCCCCATGGGGAGCCCCACCGAAGGCGCCAGCGCTGCCGCCTGCATGCGTCCCCCACACCCAATTCGGCAAACCCTTCACACGCTTCGTGGCCCCATAAGGAGCCCCACCGCAGAGCTTCCTCCAAAAACCTTATTTGGAAAGAAGCCCGCCCATGACCCTTCTCAAAAAAGTTGTTGGACTATCTGTCCAGAGAAGCCTTTCAAAAGCCTTCTGGAAAAATTTGTTGGATGGCTTGTTGGGGGGGACCTTCCAAACGCCGTGCTGAGGAAGGATCATGGGAGATTTCCCCAAGCTCAGGGGGAGGGACGAGGAAGGATTCCCCAACGACCCTCCGAAGAAATTCCAACAACCTTCCAAGAACCGCCCAGCAACCTTCCAAGCAACCTTTCCAAATATAGCGAGGCCGTCCAATCCGGTCAGGAAACCTTCTTGGAATATGTTGTAAAGCAAGGAAAATGTTCCGACAACCTTCTAAACGCCTTCCCAACAACCTCCCAGCCACTTTCCCAGAATCATGCATAAAGAAAAAAAACCCAAACAACCTTCTAACAACCTTCATCCGGAAAGTCTCTTTCTTGGATGGATTTCCAAGAACCCCCCGCGCACCTCCCTGAGGAGGGTTGATTTGAAGGTTTCTTGGGAACGTGTTTGGAAGGTTTGTTTGGAGGTGTGTTGGAAGGTCTTTTCTTTGGGACCGATTTCTGGATGTCTTGGACAGTCTCGCTGAAGTGCGAAAAGGGTGGTTTGGAAGGTTTGCGGCTGGCTGTTCGCTGAAAGTGTGGTTAAAGTTTTTTTTGACGGCGTTTGGAAAAAAAACCTCCAAGAACCACCCTCAGGAAGGTGTTCGGAATATTTGTGTTTTACGAAGCCCTCGAAACACCTTCCCGAGGAAGTTTTTTCCCCAAACAGCTTGCTGAACGGGGTGCTGTTGTGATAGAAGCTAATTCCGGCCGAGGGAAAGCTAAGCAGAGACATCCTCAAACAAATGTGGTGGTCCGGCCCGTTTCGCCTGAGACATCCTCACAACTCTCGTTTCTGAGTTGTCCGGGATTGAGCGTTTCGCCTGAGACATCCTCCTAAATCTGAGCTCTGAGAGGCCGCGCGAGAGGTGGTCCGGGCCGTTTCGCTTGAGACATCCTCGAAACTCTGGGCTCCCAGATGCCGCGCGAGAGGTGGTCCGGGCCGTTTCGCCTGAGACACCCTCGCAACTCTGAGCTCCAAGATGCCGCGCGCGAGGTGGTCCGGCCCGTTTCGCCTGAGACATCCTCGAAACTCTGATCTCCCCGATGCCGCGCGCGAGGTGGTCCGGCCCGTTTCGCCTGAGACATCCTCGAACTTCTGAGCTCTGAGATGCCCTGCGCGAGGTGGTCCGGCCCGTCTCGCCTGAGAAATCTTGCAACTCTGAGATCTGAGATGCCGTGCGCAAGGTGGTCCGGCCTGTTTCGCACAAGATATTCTCGCAACTCTGAGCTCTCAGATGCTGCGCAAGAGGTGGTCCAGCCTGGGGGCCCAGAAGGCCACATGTTACATATCCTCCATGGGACCCTGCGAGCCTCAGGAGGCCCCAGAGAGGTCCAGGAGGCCGCAGGACGCCCAGGACAGGCCCCAGGGGCCCCCAGGAGATTCCCAGGAGGCCCCAGGAGGCCCTCTATCAGAACGTGTCAAGTTAATACACATCCGGTGTCGATTCGTTGATTTTTCCTGCTCTTGTGCCCCCCCCTCCATTTGGAGAGGCCCAAGCGGCCACAGGTTAGATATCCCCCCTGGGAGCCCCAAGATGCTTCAGGAAACCTCAGGTGGAGTTCAGGAGGCCACAGGAGGCCCAGGAGGAAGCTCCAGGAGGTCCCCAGGAGGCCCAGGAGGCACCAGGAGGCCGCAGGACGCCCAGGACAGGCCCCAGGGGTCTCCAGGAGATTCCCAGGAGGCTCCCAGGAGGCCCCAGGAGGCCGCTTATCAGAACGTGTCAAGTTAATACACATCCGGTGTCGATTCGTTGATTTTTCCTGCTCTTGTGCCCCCCCCCCTCCATTTGGAGAGGCCCAAACGGCCACAGGTTAGATATCCCCCCTGGGAGCCCCAAGAGGCTTCAGGAAACCCCAGGTGGAGTTCACGAGGCCACAGGAGGCCCAGGAGGAAGCTCCAGGAGGTCCCCAGGAGGCCCCAGGAGGCACCAGGAGGCCCCCGCAACTCGGAGCTCTGAGACGCCGCGCTCGAGGTGGTCCAGCCCGTTTCGCCTGAGACTTCCTCGCAGCACGTTTCGCCCGAGACATCGTCGCAACTCTGGGGTCCGAGATGCCGCGCGCGAGGTGGTCCAGCCCGTTACGCTGGAGACATCCTCGCAACTCTAGGCTCCGAAATGCCGTTCGCGATGAAGAGGAGGTGGAGGAGGAGGAGGAGGAGGAGGAGGAGGAGGAGGAGGAGGAGATGGAAGGGAGAAGGAGGAGGCGGATGATGTGCATGAGGGAGCAGGCAGGAGGAGGGGGAGGTCCCAGAGAGCTTCAGGAGGCCGCAGGACGCCCAGGACAGGCCCCAGGGGTCCGCAGGAGATTCCCAGGAGGCTCCCAGGAGGCCCCAGGAGGCCCTCTATCAGAACGTGTCAAGTTAATACACATCCGGTGTCGATTCGTTGATTTTTCCTGCTCCTGTGGCCCCCCCCTGTATTTGGAGAGGCCCAAACGGCCACAGGTTAGATATCCCCCCTGGGAGCCCCAAGATGCTTCAGGAAACCTCAGGTGGAGTTCAGGAGGCCACAGGAGGCCCGGGAGGAAGCCCCAGGAGGTCCCCAGGAGGCCCCAGGAGGCACCAGGAGGCCCCCGCAACTCGGAGCTCTGAGACGCCGCGCTCGAGGTGGTCCGGCCCGTTTCGCCTGAGACTTCCTCGCAGCACGTTTCGCCCGAGACATCGTCGCAACTCTGGGGTCCGAAATGCCGCGCGCGAGGTGGTCCAGCCCGTTACGCTGGAGACATCCTCGCAACTCTGGGTTCCGAGATGCCTTTCGGGATGAAGAGGAGGTGGACGAGGAGGAGGAGGAGGAGGAGGAGGAGGCATGTTTTAACATGCCATGCCAGCCCGCACTAGGCGGGCACGCAATCGACCTTGGAAACCGCAGTGGGTCTAAAAACCCTGTTTGGGGATACTGCACTCCGGCTATAATTTTTGTTATACATATATATATATATATATATTCGTTCGGGAGGTTTTTGGAATTCTGTTTTGGGAGAGCTGCTTTGGAGGGTTCCTGGAAGGTTGTTGGAAGGCTTTTACAAGGTATTTGAACTGTTTTTTTGTCGGAAGGTTGTTGGACCGCTTTCTGGATGCATTGGGCGGTCTCGATAAATTTTGAAACATAATGTTGGACGGATGTTGGGGGGACATTGCTTGGACAATGTTTGAAGCTGTTGTATAAAAAGAATGCAAGAACCTTCCTTCGGAATGTTTTTTTTTTGGAAAGTTTTTTGGGAGAAACCTTCTAAACACCTTCCTACACAAGGTTTTTGTGAACACTCTTAGAAGACACCTTCCAAACACCTTCCTCAGGAAAATGTCTGGAATATGTAAGGAGTTGGCCGAACTGCCGCACCCAATTGGGGCGTGAGAGGGGGGGCCCTGGTCGTCGCTGGCGGCGGGGCGGGAACGGTGGAGCCCACACAATAATAAATTTGCATCAAGAAGGATCGCTCGTTATCCCCGATCTTCGTGGTGGTGGTAGTTTACCGTGCTCGGGCCCGGGACTTGAGAACGGGCCTCGAGGGGTCGAAGGTGGCGAACAGCCTCAGGACCCGTTTCCCTCAGGACCCTCTACCGCACGCTGAATATATGCCAACTTCCCTTTGGAGAGACCGATACCGCTACTCCGCGGACCTCTCCCGGGGTGCGGTCTGACCAGGCCGTCGAAACGAATCCAGCCGTGGCGACGAGGGACGGGCAGCGGTAACGGCACCGCTCCTCCTCTGATCTTCCCTCTCCCCTCGGAGGGCCAGTTGAAGTAACACCAGTTCCCCCGCCCAAACCAAATCTTTTCAGAATCGGTCCCGCAGTTGGGCGCGGATTGATGGGGGCAGTAGACAGGTGGCCAGCGATCGCTGCAGAAAAGGAGTTCTCTGGTGCTCCAGAAGGGGACCTCTTGGGTCTCAGAGGTCACAAACAGGCACCTCCCTTTTCCACCCCAATCCTCGCATCCGATGAATTCGCGCCCAACGCACCCCTCCTGGGGTCCATCTGGACCCGTTCCTCGTCGAGGCGGATGCAGCCGTGGCGACGAGAAGCCTCCAGGACCCCAGTGACCCCCAGAAGGCCGCTGCCGCCTCGGCTGGCCCTCCCTCCACCCCTCTCTCGGCCCCGCCCGGCCTGGGGGCGGCCCGAAGCCCTTCGGGAGGTACAGGGGCGCCGCGTGATTCAGCGGATGAGCAGCGATGGCCACCTCTGGGGCGGCCGGCGTCTACGTTGTCGTGGCCGTCTTCCTGCTGTTCCCTCGGCGTGGTGGCCGCCGGCTGCTGCCATGAATAAGCGGCGCGCCCAGGGGGAAGTCAGAAGGGGCGGGCCTTCTCAGAAGGCTTGGGAAGTTCCCCAGCCTTCTGGGAAGTTTTCGAAGCCTTCCCCAAAGAGACAGAAAACTTCCCAGAAGGCACGAGGGCCTCTGAGAAGTCCCGCCGCCTTCTGAGAAGGCCTTCTCCTTCTCATGTTTCACCCCCTCGCTCGCCGCCGAATGGGGGAAGCGGGCCCTGCAGGAGAGGAGTCCTGAGGCGTCTCACCGCTCTCGGGCCCCATGTGGCCCTCCACGGGCCCCAGGACAGCCAGCGCAACGACTCGGGGAGAAGAGCTGGTCCATGTGGGGAAGCCCCGTGGCCCCGGACCCGTTTACCTCGGGAGCCTTATTCCCCATGGCGGGATTTTTAGCCTCCTGCTCTTGCTGCAATAGGTTCGGGCGGCGTCGGCGCGCGCAGAAGCTTTTGACACCACCTCGATCGATCAACCTGCAATCGACAGCGGCCCCGATCGTTCAAGGTTACAATCCGTCGGGTTCATTGGCTTTACTCTGTAACTCGGAACTTCCGCGTCGCAGAGTTCAACCTTGAACGCCTTCGCCGACGTCGCCGGCGCGCCAACGCCGCACAAACCTATCTTACTCCTGCTCCTCCACGCTCAAGCCAGACTAGGCCACGCCCCAAGTCCCCCACCTGCAAGGGGCCTGGAATATTATGTCTCAAACTTCTCTGCAAGTCCGTCCGTCGGGTGCGATGTCATGTGGGTCGGCTCTCAACACGCTCCTGGATCTTGAATCTGCACACGCCGCCGCCGCGTTGCCCGCTACTGGTTTCGAACATCGGTGCCTCTTGTGTGTTCGGAGCCAGTGTTGCAGACATGTTGGTGACGACAAACATGTTAATGGGGAGCCATCCCCTTCCGCACAACTCCGCCCCAAGGGCTGCGATAACGACTTCCACGTGGGTTCGTCATGTTGGAGGAACGGGAGGCTTTCAGAATAGCGCCCATGCTTTCCCTCTTTGGGTCATATCCCCGCCTTCGCCGATGGCAGCACCTGAGATGCTGTTGCTGCTGGTGCCTTCTGATGATCAATTTTGTCCTGGTCGGCCGCAAGGGTCAAACGGGAGGCCCTCAACCTCATCCGCCTCCCTCTTCTCCCCCTCTCCCCTTCCGTCTCCTCCATCCGCATCCTTGACAATAATTCATCCGTATCGCACGCCCATACGTGTCGGTGGGGCAGGCCCGGCGTTTCGCCTGAGACTTCCTCATTATTTATTACGATTCTGCAATTTGGCAACAACTTCGTGAATGGCGGGCGAACGGTTTTCAAATTGCAGCTCTCGCCTCAGCGCCGCGCGCATTTCTTTAAAACCGTTGCAACAATTTCGTGCGTGAAAGGCGGACGGTTTTCAAAATGTGGCACTCGCCTTAGCGCCGCGAGCAGCCGTCTTAAAACTGTTCAACGAATTCACGGCTAGGCGGCGATACGTGTTCAATGTGTAGGTTTCGCCTTCACGCCGCGCACATTCGTCCTAACATGTTGCTGCAACTTCACGGATGAAAGACGGCTTCTTTTCACCATGTGGCTCCCGCCGCAGCGCCGTGCACATTCGAGATGAACGTTTGCAACGGTTTCAAATTACCCCAGTGCGACCCTACATAGAAGTTGGAGCCCCTAGGAAAGCAGCATTAGTTGCCATGCTATGCTCTGCTATGCCATGCTGCGCTATGCTATGCTATACTATGCTATGCTGCGATATGCTATGCTATGCTATGCTATGTTATGCTACGCTATGCTACGCTAAGCTATATTATGCCATGCTGCGCTGTGCTATGCTAAACTATGCTATGCTATGATATGCGAAGCTGCACTATGCTATGCTATGCTATGCTATGCGATGCCATGATATGCTATGCTATGATGCGCTCTGCTATGCTCTGCTATGCTATGCTTGGCTATGTTATGCTATGCTATGCTATACGAATGCAGCGCTGCGCTATGCTATGCTAAGCTAAGTTAACCCTCTAGGCAGAGCCTAGGTAGGAAATTACACCCATGCCTAAATTAAACGAAAGCCCCTAGAGTGCCTACTGAGCGTGGGCGGCTGTGTGGCAGGGCCTCCGGACTTGAGCCGAACTGGTTACGGAAGGCACTGCTTGCGGGGGCTCTGGTCCGGCCATCGAGGCTAGCTCGGCATCTGTCGCACATTGCTTTTGCTTTGCCTGTCCTTTGCTTTGGTTTTGCTTTTGCTTTGCTTTGCTTTGCGTTGCTTGTGCTTTGCTTTGCTGTCGCTGCTGTTGCTTTGCCTTTGCTTTGCTGCTATGCCATGCTGTACTATGCTATGCTATGCTATGCTATGCTGCGCTGTGCTATGCTGTGCTATGCTGTGCTGCGTTATGCTATGCTATGCTATGCTGCGCTATGCTATGCTATGCTGGGCTATGCTATGATATGCTGTGCTGCGCTATGATATGCTACGCTATGCTATGCTATGCTGTGCTCTGCTAGGCTAAAGCTCAGCGAAGCTAAGATGAAGGTAAGCTAAGCTAAGATAAACCTGATCTAAGATGAAGCTAAGCTAAGCTAAGATGAAGTAAGCTAAGCTAAGATGAGATAAGCAACGCTAAGCTAAGGGGACGTAACTGGGGGAACCGCGGGGCGGATCCTGGGGGAACCGCCCGAGGCGAAGCCCACTGCACGGCCCCTTTAAGATAGAGAGTAAGAACCCTTCTAGGCAGAGCCTAGGTAGGGAATGTTCAAATGGTTGAAGTCCCGAAGACGGTGGTCTGGAGCGATTCGGGATTGTCAGGCCGCAACAATCACGTTGATTCACTGTGTTGAAATCGTTGAAGGGCGCTCCGGTACGATTTAGGGTTGTCATGACATAGCATTCACGTTCATTCGAAGCGCTCGAGTCCCAGGTATCGTGTTTTGGCACGGTTGAGTATTCTCAATCGGTTGTCTTCCAATGGAGCACTTCACGCAATTAGCACACATGTTTGCACGGACCTATGAAAAGAAAGGGACCCTGGAGAGAAGGCGCTTTGCAACATCATTTGTCCGTCTTGGGTTTGCACTGGCCGTCGTCCTCCCCCTCCTCCTCCCTATCCCCTCCCCCCTCTCTCTCCCCCCTCTCTCTCCCCTCTCCCCTCCCATTTCCTCCGTCTCCCTTCCCGCCCCCTCCCTGGACGAAGATAAAAAGCAAGAGAAGCGACCGCTTCCGGTGTCTCGCTGTGCCCTCCAGCCCACGAGCGAATGAGCAGACCTCGCAGCTTAGGGCGACGTCTAGCGACCACCCCAAATCGGACAACAATCTGGTTCCGAACCCGATATGGGTCCGCACTTGTTTCCACCGCGTGAAAAATTATAAATGGTCAAAATGAAGCCATGAATTAGGAGTAAAGAGTGGCACTTCTCAGGGTGCATCTGCGAGAGCTGAACAGCAAACCTAAGTTGATTTCGGGACAGCGAGAGCAAGCAGGGAAAGAGGGAGCGAACGACTGACAGAAGCAGAGGGAGCAAACCAGGACAAGGACAAAACTGCCCCATCTGGTAACCACCGACGGCGCAACAGCCGAACGGGCAACTCTCTGCCCTCTGCCTGAATTTCCGAGAAGTGTCCAAAGCATTATAAACAGTGCGGAGATAGGCAAAGCCGATGGAAGGGACAATATTAGAATTAACGATGGGAAAATTGAAAAAAAATGCGAGCGCCAATGGGGGTGCATGCCAAAAATACATAACCAGCTTCAGAAGAACAGGAAGGTACGGGAGACAGAAATACCCGTCCCCCCCCAACGGTGATCGAAACAAAAGGACCCTACATAATACAACCTAGGACCCTCTCTATCCTAAGAGCTGAAGTCAGCAAACGCACCGCGAGTCTCTTGCAAGATAACAATGTGATGCCGTGAGAAGAGTTGATTAAGCTAGGCGTGTTTCCTGCACTAACGGGCGTGATCACCCCAGACACTTCCAAAGACAGCAGCTGGGCTCCAACATGCTATTTGAAATTGGCAGTTCATAATCAGAGGATGGGAAGCAAAGGCAGCATGCAAGCAAGAGCGAAAGATCGGCGGCCAGGAGGTACAAACATGCTGCGTAGACCTGCGAACGCCAGGCGCTTGCCGGACACCAGCATTCGATGCAGCACCAGTGCTGCACTCACTATCAAAGTAAATCAAGGGGAACTGGAACTGCTTGATGAGACTGCAACACCCTTAGGCCGCGGGACACCAGCCAGAGGAAGAGTCTCAAGCAAAATGCGACACCATCTGCATTGCATAGGGGGCGTCGCAAGGACGGCTTGGCGAGGAACCTTTGGGTTTCAACGTCCCCTCTGGCAGCGGGAATTTCTTATCATCCTCGAGTACCATGATCGTGAAGGCGTCTTCTCCGCCTCCACAGCCAGATCCAGGACTCAGTCAAACGAAGTCGCAAATCTCCTTCCAAATCGCGCACGTGAAATGTAAGCTGGTGTGAGGTTCCGCGCGCCGTGGTCGGCCAGCAGCTTCTTCGTGACATCGCACCAATGCCGAGAAACTTTTGTGCCGAAGGGGTTGGTCGCAACCGCATCTCAGCGGGACATTCTCCAGAGTCTTGGGGTCGTTCCATGTCATACGCTGGAGCGAAGAGGCGTCCCTGCCCCAGGAGAAAAAAACACAGGCAGCATCTTCAGACGGGAACCTGATTTTGTGACAACACGTGCAGCTTTGGCACTGGGCGGTGGCACAGTCGAGCAGGAGCCTGGCAACACAGTGGAGAGACTGAGAGTAGGTGGTAAGGCGCCATCACGAAAACGCTTCACGCTGCCTCCTTTATGGCCTTCTCTATGCTAACTCACTTGGCATCGGGCTGAGCGGATGTGACGATGATCGAAGAGGGAACAGACAAAGAGGTGTAAACCAGGCCATCCACTTGGTCATCATCAGGAGGGGTAGAGGCAGCAGGATCACCTAATGTTTTCCAGGCATGGGCTGCCAATCTGTCGAGCTCATCGCGCATGCTGGCGTTCGCTAAGCTGGAACTCGGCGATGGATGACGCGAACTTGTCATTTAAGCTCTTCAGCTCGGTCACGAAGCCGTCGATCTTGTGATTCATTGTATGCAGCAGAATACCGATGGCCTAGAGGTCTTCAGGAGGGGGCGGCACGGCGGGAACTGGGAGGTGAAGGGGCTACTGACCGCTCGGGCGGGGGCTCGCCAGCAGGATCAAGTGTGCCCGCCTGGATCCGACTCCAGGAAAGCTTCCGAACGAGAGCTGCCTCACTCAAATGAGGGCCTGTCCCCACCTTGAACCAAAATGGCAACGGAGGAGGAAGAGAAGGAGGAGGAGGAGGAGGAGGAGGAGGAGAGACGGACGAGGGAAGAGCGAGGAGGGAGGAGCGAGGGGGAGTGGAGGAGCCAGGAGGAGAAGAGGATCCAAAGACGAGGATGAGAGAAGGAAAGAGGGAGAACATCTCCTCAGGAACTGCCAATCGGCCGCCCATCCCCCTCGTCAGATCCGACGGTGCGAAAGAATGCAACATCGAGGAACAACTCGACCAGAACCTTAGACACAATCTTTCTGCTGCACTTTTCGAAGAAGATCGCTCAGTGATGGTCCCAAGGCCCACACAAAAATCCGCCGACCCCTTGGGGTTCATCGGCGTGTGAGATGCTTCCCCCTCGCCAAACCCCTCCCCTGGGAGCCCAGTCCGGTCTATTTGGAGGGGGGGGGTCTATCCAGGCTATCCGGGCCGGGGGTGGGTACTGGGGTACTTCGCTCCAGAAATTCTGCCGGGGGGCATGGAGGGCCTCAAAACGGGCCACGAGGGCCCCAAGAGACCTCCAAGACGGTCCAAGTGGGCCCCGAGTCGCCGAAACATCGTCCCAAGACGCCCAAGACGGCCTCCAGACGGCCCAAGATGCCTCCAAGACGCCCCAAGAGGCTTCGAAGAGGCCTCCCAAGAGGGCCCCAAGAGGCCAAAATCGTTGTTTAAAGGTTTCGGCTTCCTCGCCTTTTCGGGCTTCCGACGCTCGAAGACGGCCCAAGAGGTCCCCAAGACCGCCCCGAGACGGCCCAAGAGGCCCCCAATAAGGCCCCAAGACTGCCCAAGAGGGCCTTAAGACGGCCCAAGAGGGCTTCAAGACAGCCCGAGAGGGCCCCAAGAGGGCCCTAGGAGGGGCCAAGAAGGGGACCACGAACCAAAAAGTCTAGCTTTCCGCCCCAAGAAGCCCCCGGGAGGCCCCAAGAGGCCCAAGGATGCCCCCAGGAGACCCCAAGAGGCCCAAAAGAGGCCCCAAGAGGCTCCCAAACAGCCCCCCAGAGGCCTCCAAACTGCCTCGGGCAGGCCCTCGAGAGGCTTCTCACGAGATCCCAACGAACATCCAACAGGCCTCTGAATCACAACCCAGGCACGGTGGCGGGATGGGCCGAAGACCACTAGATTTACATACAAGTATGAGTCACGCAGCACCCAGAAGCCGCAACAGCGACTCTCCTCCAAGGGGTCGGCGGTGCGGCATAAGCCAAACAATCAAACTCGCCCAGTGTAAGCAAATTGCGGCGTCAGGATTTCGAGGTCCCCCGCGGCGACGAGCGAAGGCCCTCCCCTCGCGGCGGCCGACGCTGGTGGCCTCGAGGTGACTCCCAGGACAATGGCCTCCGAAGTGGGGTCAGAATAAGTGGGGTCGGAGGATCGCGCTGCATCGCCACTGCATCGCCGACGCATGGGGGGTGATGCGTGGGCGACGTCGGCGATGCACCGGCGACGTCGGCGCGGAGAAGATCGGGCTCACCATCTGGGGGCCTCGCCGATGCATCGGCGATGCGGCGCGATCCTCCAACCCCATCTACTCTGACCCAGGAGGGCCCCGTGCCCTCCCCCCGCCCTTTGGGGGGCCTTCGGGGGGCCCCCTTGTCGCCACGGTTGACGCAGCTCGGAAAACTGGTGCGTCAGGACCCCAGTGGGGGGGGGTCAGCCGTTGTCTCAACTCGCCCTGCTCCGTATCCCAGGGTGAGCATATTTTCCACGACACCCACTATGTAGAATAGATCAGGGGCGGCTGACCTTTGGTACAGCCATCGTGCTACCTAAAGGCACGAATGGGCTTTTCTGCCCACGGCGGGCCTAGGCCCGCAGGTTCCACGACGTAAGATGAGGAACGGCACGGACACCCAAGCCCCTCCTGCGCCAATAATCACTGGTCCTTATTTGAGCGTCTTGACTGTAGTGCTTTGCTGTGCGAGTCGCCGACCGTGCTCAGCAAACCACTACCGTGGGCCAGCCGCCCATGGTCCACAGCGGCGGAAGTGAAAAACAAGCCCCCGGCCGCCCAGGTGGCCACGAGGTGGCCTCGAGAGGCCCTGAGATGCTGCTCCACGGTGGCCCTGGAGGTCCAGAGGCTGCTGCAAGGCGACCCCCAAGGAGACCCCGAGGTGGCTCGAGGACGACCCCTTGGAGGGCCCGAGAGGAAGGTGAGAGGTCGAAGGCCGGCGTGCGCCGGAGCGCGCCCTGCTCGGGCTGCCGGGCGAAATGCCCACAAGCTGGCGACGCTCGGAAAAAGTGGCGAGCACTCCTGCCAAATTCATCTGTCAACGCATCCCCCTCCCCCCAATGTTCAAAATTGGCGGTGTTTCTGATGAGTTGCACCTCGACCGCAGTCTCCCCCGCGCGTGCCAACTGTGAGTTTGGGGGGAGGGGAGTGTTCAGTAATTGTTTCCCCCTACTGTTTCTCGCAGTTTCGCACGAGTTTCTTCCCATGTTCGCAAACGCTGACGACATCTGCGTTCTTCCAAAACTCTTAAGCGCTGACGCCGTCTGCCCAGCGCTTCTGAGGCCGCCCTGGCGCCCTGCACGCCCTTCCAACGCCGATTTCAACGTCCACGTGGCTCTCCTGGCTCGGCCCTCAACCCCTCGGCATCGCTTCTGGCGCCGCGCCGGGGGCAAGGAGTCCAGCGCCGACCCACGAAACCCGCGTGGGCCTCCGACACTTCAGGCTTAGTTGGGGCGTCGACCGAAGGAACGATCAATCAGGAACGATGCCCCTTTTCTCTATAAGTTCAACTTCGATTTCCCATCGAAAACCTAAGGAAAACCTACAGAAAGAGAACGTTAAAACAATTAAGGAACACGGAGCCCCTCCAAAACGAAAAAGGTTTCTCCTCCAGCGCCCCGACTGCATGCAATTTCCATCGAAAAGGTGGCCCCCGAACCCGCTCAGGATGGCCACGAGGCAAAATCACTCAACATCAAGTGGGCCTGCATCGGCACGGAATCAAGCCCGAATCGGATCGGCCGCACCAAGATGCACCACAACACTCTGCAAACCTCGGGCCGCATCGGAGCGTCGGAACATCGGAACTGACTCGGACCGAGCCAGCCGCAATCGACATCGAATCGGATCGAGCGGATCGAAATGGACCTTGCGAAGTGGCCCCGAGAGGTCCCGAGATGGCCCAAGACGTCCCTCCGAGGCCACCCTCGGTGTCGAGCGACCGCTGGCCTCTGAACTGTTCACCCCGAATAGCTCTGGCGGCCCTGGGGCCAGTGAACGGCTTCCCGAGGCCGAACACCGCGAAAAAAAATAGACAGTCGCGTCGCTCGGTCGCTTTTCCTTGCACACCCTCGCCTAGGACAGTCTGCCCTCCACCTCTTTTTCTGCACGCCGACTCGCCTAGCGCAGTCCACCATCTGCAACGTCAAGCGGAATTGACGCTAAACTCACCCCGCTTTACCTCTCGCTGCAATGACGTCACGCGACCGCTGGAAGAAACACTGGCTGTGTGTGCAATCGGATATGCCTGGCGCTCTTCGGGTTATCTTTGATCTTTTTGCAGATGCCCGCAGAGGCGGATCAATGTTGCTCAGCGCGTCCCGCCTGCGATGCTGCTTGCCGCCGCTTGTGACCCATCGGCGCGTCGGAGAGCAGCATGCCTCCGTGTGGGTGTGAAAAGAGGTCGTCCGTGAAAGACCCTTCCTAGGGAGGGCGCTTTGGGCAGAACTGTCAGGGGTGCGACGATTGCGCAACACGGGAAACCTCTCAGAGGCCAACACAGAACACTTCCCAGAAGCCTCGAGCCTCGAGCCCACGGAAACGTGGGAACCCCCGTCAAGCCTGAACTGGATCGAACCGCGCCATGGGATCGGATTGGATCGGAAACGGATCGGATCGCCAACGATCGTCCCGAATCTACCCTGGACGATGCTAGTGAACCGACCGAATCTAATTGAACTGGCGAGACGAATCGCATCGCATCGGATAGTAAGCGGCCATGCCCGTAGTCCTCGATCTCCGCTGCCACGTCCAGGGCCGCCTCCCTCTGGCTCGGGTGCTCGTCGACCGAGGAGGTGCAGCCGCGGCTGACCTCTGTGGCAATCACGGCGGTCTCCCGCTCCGCCTCGGAGTCCTGCCGAGGAGGGAGGAGGAGGCAGGGAGGAGAAAGGAGGAGGAGGAGGAATTACCACGACAACTACTACGACAACCCCCATGGCAACCACCACGACAACTGCCACCACGGCACCCACCAACACAAATACCGTTACAGCTACCACGACAGCCACCACGACAACTACTACAGCAATGTGACAGCCACATTGTCTGCCACCACGGCAGCAAGACGACAGCCACCACGACAGCCACAATGGCGGCAACACGACAACTATATGAGGCCACGTGCGAACCCTACCCCTACCCCCACGATTTCTGAAGGGGGAGGGTGGGGTTCACTTCGTTCAGGAGCTTCCGAGCGAAGTGAACCCCACCCTCCCCCTCAGAAATCGTGGGGGGTCAGGGTAGGGCCCGCATGTGGCCCTCTAAACCACCGCGACAACTACTACTACAATTACTACGACAACTACTACTACAACTACCAGCACATCTACCGCGACAACCACTACGGCTGCCACTACGACAACTACTACGACAGCTACCACGACAGTCACCACGACAACCACCACTACAGCAACGCGACAGCCACCACGCCAGCCACCACGGCAGCAACACGACAACCACCACGACAGCCACTACGGCAGCCACCACGACAACCACCACTACAGCAAAGGGACAACCACCGCGACAACCAAAACGACAACTACCACGACAACTACCACTACAACTACCATTACAGCTGCCGCGACAACCACTACGGCAGCCACCACAACAACCACGACAACCACCTCACAACCACCACTATAGCAACGCGGCAACCACCACGACGGCTACCACGGCAGCTCAAACTAGCAGACCACCAGTAGAACACCCAGCAATCCACCCACGGTCCAACAGACAACCACGGCGGCCACCTCTACAGCCTCGCCAACACATCATAGCACACCACGGCAGCTGCCGTAGCACACCACGGCGGCCTCGCCACCATAGCACACCATAACACATCACAACAATACACCGACCGTAGCACACCACGGCGGCCACCGCTACAGCCTCGCCAACACATTTTAAGCGCAAGCACACCACGACGGCCACCACGACGGCCACGGGGGCGACGACAACGCTAGCCACAACAACGGCTCCCACGAAGACACACACCACAACTGCTACTACGACAGCCGTGTCAGCTGCGACATCAACTCCCAAACGCAAACATCTCAAGGCGACCTCCACGACAACACCTCCTACGAGCAAGCACACCACGGCGGCCACTACGACAGACACGGCAGTACATCCCACAAGCAAGCACACCACGGCGGCCACCACGACAGCCACAGCAACCACGGCCGCGACTCCCGCGCGCAAACACACCACGGCGGTCACCACGACGACCACGACTATCGCAGCAGCGATTTTTACGCGGACGTGCACCACGACAGCCACGACAGCGACTCTCACGAGCAAGCACTTCAAGGCGCCCACCACGACAGTCACGACGGCACCCCTCACGAGCAAAAACACCACGGCGGCCACCACGACAACTACGACAACACCTCTTACTGGCAAGCACGCCACGAAGGCCATCACGTCCTCCACGACACCCAACACATCGACTCGTACGTGCAAACACACCACCGCGGCAACCAAGACTACCGCCTCAACGAATTTCACGAGGACGCACGCCACGGCGGCTACCACTATAGCCGTGGGAGCCGTTCTTACCAACACTCACACCACAACGGTCACCACGACAACCACAACAACCACGGGCCCCCCACGGCAACCACGAATACCGCAACTGCGACTTTTACGAGTAAGCAAACCACGGCGGCTACCAGGACAGCCACCTCAGCGACTCTCACGAGCAAGCACACCACAGCGACCACCACGGCAATCACGATAGCCCCCGAGCGCAAGCACACCACGGCTGCCACCGCGACAGCCATGGCAACACCTCTTACGAGCAATCACGCCATGGAGGCCACCACGACAACCACCGCAACGTCTCTCACGAGCACGCACACCACGGCGGCCACCACGGCGGCCACGGCAACCACGATTACCGATGCAACGACTCTCACGAGGACGCACACCACGGCGGTCACCACGACACGGCGGCCACGAGGAACAGCCACAACAGCCACGGCGACCTCTCCTACGAGAAAGCATACCACAGCCGCCACCACGGCAGCGACGACTTTCACGATAGCGACACTCACGAGCAAGCATGTCAGGGCGACCACCACGACAGCCACAACAGCACCTCTCGCGAGCAAGCACACCACGGCAGCCCCCACGTCATTCACGACAACACCTCTTACGAACAATCACGTCACGAAGGCCACTGCGACATCCACGACAGCCACCGCAACGACTCTCACGGGCAAACACACAACGGCAACCACCACGGCAACCACGACTACCGCCACAGCGACTTTAACAAGGACGCACGCCACGGCGGCTACCAAAACAGCTACGACAGCGCCTCGAACAAGCAAACCCACCACGGCGGCCACCGCGACAACCAGAAAAACAACAGCAACGACTCTCACGAACAAACACACCACGGCGGCCACCACGGGAACCAAGACGACCACAACCGCGACTTCAACGAGGAAGCACACCACAGCGGCTACCAAGACAGCCACGACGGTCACGACAGCGACTCTAACGAGCAAATACTCCAAGGTAACCACCACGACAGTCACAAATCTAACGAACAAGCACATCAGGCGGCTACCACCACAATCACGACAGCACCTCTAGCGAGCAATCACGCCTCAGAGGCCACTACGACATCTACGACAGCTGCTGCAACGACTCTCACGAGCAAATACATCACGGCGACCGCCACGGCAATCACGTCTATCGACACAGCGACTTTCACGAGGACGCACGTCACGGCGGCTACCTTGACAACCACGACAACACTTCTTACAAGCAAACACACCACGGCGGCCACCAAGGCGACCAGGACTACCGCAACAACGACTTTTACGAAGACGTCTACCACGACGGCTACTACGATAACCACGACAGCCACGACGGCGACCTGCACGAGGAAGCACGCCACGGCGGCTAACACGACAACCACGACAGCCACAACATCGACTTGTACAAGATATCACCGCTGACTCTGGTAATGCCGCCGACTTCAGCAGCACCACCGGTCCCAGCAAAATCGATGAACGCACCACAGACTCGAAAAGCACTGCCGATTTCGGAATTTCAGCAGCACTGACGACTTTAGCAACACCGCCGTGCCTGGCAGCATCACAGACTCAAGCAGCACCACCGATGCAGGCAGAAGCGCTACCGACCCCAACAGCAGCAGCACCACCGACTCCAGCAGCAGCGCCACCGACTCCAGCTGCAACACAAACTCAAGAAGCACCACCGACCCCAGCAACACCACCGAAACCAACGCCAAGGACTCTGACTCCAGCACCACCGACTCCAGCAGCACCACGGTGCCGATCATAACCACCGGCTCCAGCAGCACCATCGACTCTGGCAGCAGCGCCGCCGACTCCAGCGCTGCCAACTCCAGAGACGCCGCCGACCCCAGCAGCGCCACCGACTTTAGCAGCACCGCCGACTCCACCAGTAGCGTCGCCGACCCCAGCAGTACCACCGACCCCAGCAGCAACACCGACTCCAGCACCAACGATTTTGGCAGCAACGCCGCCGATTCCATCATGGCTGACCCAAGCAGCACCACCGACCCCAGAAGCGCCACCGACTTCAGCAGCACCGCTGCATATGGCAGCAGCGCCGCCGACACCAGCAGCACCGCCGACTCCAGCTGGACCACCGACCCCACCAGCCCCACCGACTCCAACAGCACAACCAACCCTGGCAGAAGCACCACCGACTCCAGCAGCACCACCGACTCCAGCGGCACCACCGGGCCCAGCAGCACCACCCACTCCCTGACCCCGACAACAGCGCCACCGACTCCAGCAGCACCACCGACTCTAGCGGCGCCGCCGACCCCAGCAGCACCACCGACTCCAGCAGCACTGCAGCGCCTCGGCCGACAGCTATGAGCCTGGGCAAATAGTGCGATTGGTGCGAGGAGGAAGAGGAAGAGGAGGAAGGGGAGGAGGAAAGCCCGCAAGTCACGAATCGCAGCGAAATGTGGCCGCGTGTCCGCCGGAGATCCGTCGAGCAACCGCCTGTCCGCTGGTCGTGGCCGGAGGCCACGGGTCAGCCCTAGTCTATCGGTGCCATCATGGTTGGCCTTGGTTGGGTCCGACCAGACCTTGCAACTTGCCGGCATGTCGAAAGCCCGATCGACTGCCCGTCCGGGCGGGCCCTCTCGGACTCCACCGCCAGTCGGACCGTGTCGAGAGCGTCCTAGCGCAATCCCTCCACAATGCCCTGTCCCGAAGAGGTTTGTCGTCTCGGATGTGTTGCTTCGCCATGATTCGCTGTTTGCCGTGCCGTTGCTCTCTGAAAGTGTGTCGCAACGAACATTGGCCACTTCTGTGTTGCAAGTTGGAGGGGTATCGTACGACAGAGGAGGGCGGGATTAGGAGGCGATAGAGGTGGACCGTTCACCTTGATGTCGCGGTGTATTCTCGAGTGCAGCGGCATCTCTCAGGTGAGGTGAATTGGGCGGGATATGGTTTGGGAGTGGGGAATAGACGACATTCGTCATTGCGACGGCATTCCACTCGGAATGCGACAGCGGGTCGCTGCTACTGTGCCCCACGGTGAGGGCAATCGCAGAATAGGTCATGATTTTTAGGATTAATGCTGAAGAAGGGAATCTCGCAAGTTTTGGCCGCGAATATTTCACTCCCAGCTACCCTCGGTGAGGGTCAAAACTTATAACTGCCCTCGGTGAGGGCCCTGGCCACGTGTGGGATCGGATGGGCGAGTGCAGGCACTTACTCGGGATGGTCGAGGTGGGGAGGCAAGAGCTTTCAGGCCCCCAGGACTCAGGGCCTGGCCATGTTCTGTTGCACAGCGGCATCACCTAGAGATTTGCACTCGCACGCGTGTTCGCACCTCGTATTGCACGCGTATCTCGACCACTCCTCGTTCGGCATCCTCCTTAGTAGCATGGTCATTACAAGTCTGTCCTTGTCTCTTCGTCGGTATCTTCTCCAGTGCTGGTGGCGAGCGCTTACTCTGAGCCCCTGAAGGCCTCTTGCTGCAGCTTTGCTGTTTCGCACTTCTTTTCCCACAGCGCTGGCCATTCCAGCTTAAGGTGTTTCTTAGCCTGAGCCGGCGATTTGTTTTCTCATTGCGGCAGTAACGCCACGAGCTTGCTCTTCAAGTCCGATCAACGTCAAAAAAGGAGGGGGAGGACGAACAAGGCACGCGCGCGCACGCGCGAGAAACCCTGCCCCTGCTCGGTCCTCTGCGCCCAACTCCCCGGCGACCTCGGAGTCGGTGTCCCCCGCGTCCGTGGAGTCGTCCTTCTCGGACCTCGGGGGGTGAGGGGGGGGGCAGAGGGTACTCGTGCGCCGTGCCCCGTTGCCCCAAACTCCTGCCAAACCGGTTCTCATTCTCCTCCTCCAGCCTCCGCACTCCTACTCCGCCTGCGCCCACCTCCTACATCATGCTTCTCTGACCCCTTCCCTCCAAACATCCTCCTCCTCCATCCCAAGTCTTCATCCTCCTCTTACGCCTTTCCTCCTCCTCCTCCTCCTCCTCCTCCTCCTCCTCCTCCTCCTCCTCCTCCTCCTCCTCCTCCTCTATCTCACAATTCTCTCCCGTCTCGTCCCCTTCCCGTCCGTCCCTTTGGTGGTGACCACGGGTAACTTGGGCCCTCTTCCTCCCGGGAGGCGGCGGATGGCATCTAAGGCCGAGGAGGCGGCGGGGGCCTAAATATGGCACATGCACGCGTGCCGCACGCGGGTACCAGCTCTGGGAGGGCAGGCCTAGCTATTGCCCTCCCTTTCGGGCCCCCGCCGCACCCGAGGCGTGTGGCTCCTGCTGGGTAGCTTTTCATTGGGTGCATCTGGATCCGCACACGTCGCGGACGTGAGCTCCGCGGGCAAAGGGCGGCCTGTTCAGGGCGTCTGGCCCGCCTGGCGGTGTTCACGAGACCGGCTGCGGCAAGCAGAGTCCGCAAGCTGGCCGTCTCCTTCTCCCCTGCCCTTCCTTCCTACTCCTCCACCTCTCTCCCCCTCTCCTTCTCATTCCTCCTCCTTCCCTGCTCTCTCATTCCTCCCTTCTCCGTCCTCCTCCCTCCTTCTCCCCCCCTCCCTCCGCCTCCTCATCGAGAATCCCGCCTGGGCACGAGCAAGTCTTTGGAGGCCCGAAATGGGAGCCGCGCCCGAAAGCATCGGTCCTCGAACCTCGCTCCTCCTGGTAGGGCGCGGCCTGACCGACGCCATCTGTGACGACCCCCTCATGCGAGGCAAGGGCTTATTCTTGACCACCGCCTGGGACATCGACCTTGGGGACCTCGGCAGGCGGTGGCTTGCCACCCCCACTCCTGACACGCAATTCCACTCGACCACCAGGGCGCGAATATATCCGCCGATCCGGCGTGTGAGTTTACAGAAGCTACAGCCTGAGCTTCAGCTCTGCTGGGGGGGGCCCGGGGGGGCTTTGCCGGGGAAGGGGGAGAGGGGAAAGGGTCTACATTTTCTGGGGGGGGGGCCTTTCGGGCCCAGGAGAGCCCCAACACGGGCCAAGAGAACTCCAATAGGCTCCCAAGACGGCCCCAAAGGGCTCCGAGTCGTCAAACTATCGGTCCAAGACGCCAAAGCTGGCCTCCATACCGCCCAAGGACCTTCCTAGACGCCCGAAGAAGCTTCCAAGAGGGCTCCCAAGAGGGCCACGAGAGGGAAAACTAGCCGCTTCCTTCTCGAACACGTATATGTTCAGCATATTCGCCTCTTGGGCTTTCACATCGTCGAAAACAGCCCAAGGGGCCCTCATGATCGCTCCAAGACGGACCCGAGAGGCCCCCAAGAGAGCTCCAAGACGACACAAAAAGGCCCCACAACAGCCCAAGAGCCTCAAGACTGCCAAAGAGGGCCCCAGGACGGGCCCAAGAGGCGGCCCAGAGGGGGAACAAAAAGGTCATGTCGAGCCTTCGACCCCGAGACGCCCCCAGGAGGCTTCAAGAAGCCTCCAAAAGGTCCCCAAGAGGCCCCCAAGAAGCGCCCGAAAGTCCCACGGTAGGCCCTGGTCCTCTTTGACCTCGTCCTCCTTCTTCATCAACCCCTGCTTGCCGAATGAAGCTAATCATCATAAGCACGACGCCCGCCCCCGTGGGCATGATGATCCTCCTCTTTTGTTCCTCCTCCTCCTCCTCCTCCTCCTCCTCCTCTCCAAGCTCCTCCTCCCCCTCTTCCTCCTCCTGCGCCTCACCCCCCGTCTCTACCCTTATACTACTAGTTTCCCTCCTCCTCATTCTCTCCAGTTACTCCTCTTCGTCCTGTTCTTTTCCCCCTCGTCATGTCCCTCCTCATGCTCATATTCCTCTTCCTCTTCTACATCCTCTGCCTCGTCCTCCTCCTCCCCCGCCCCCTCCTGCTCCTGTTGCTCCTCGTCCCTCTCTTCCTCTCCTCCTTCTCCTCCTCCTCCTACTCCTTCTCCTCCTCCTCCTCATCTTCCTCCTCCTCTCCCTCATCATCATCAGCATCAGTAGCAACAGCATCAGCATCACCATCAACAGCAACTCCCTCGGGCAAGCGGTGGCCCGCGGTGTCCTGCCAATGTCCCGCTTGTGGCTGGGTCCTGGCCGGACCAAATGATTCTCCCTCCGGCAAGCGGTGGCCCGCGGTGTTCCGCCGGTGTCCCGCCGTCCAGGTGTCCCGCTGGTGCGAAAACGATAGTGAGATCGATGACGAAATCGATTGTGAGATCGATAGTGAGATCGATAGTGAGACCGATAGTGATATCGATAGTGAGATCGATCGTGAGATCGATAGTGAGATGAATAGTGATATCGATTGTGAGATCGAGTGATATCGATAGGGAGATCGATAGTGGGATCGATACGGAGATCCAGAGTGAGATCGACAGTGAAATCGATCGAGTGAGATCGATAGTGAGATCGATCGAGTGAGATCGATAGTGGGATCGATGGTCCCAAGAGCAAGCGGCAACGCAACAATCACCACTGTTGCCCATTGCTGGCCCCCCTCCCCCCCAACCTCCTTATCACCCGCAGGGTGGTCGTATAGGTAACCATCATCATTAGCGCCATCATCATCGCACCATCATGGCCCGCATCAACAGCAATATCACCACCATCATCAGCATCATCCAGTCCTCCTCGTCCTCCTTATCTTCGTCTTCCTCCGCCTCCTTCTCCCCCCCTCCCCCCCGTCCTCTTCCTTATCCTCCCCCCTCCTCCTCGGAACTCAGACGTGGGCATCATGCTCCTCCTCGTGTGTTCCTCCTCCTGAGACACTCTCTCCTCCTCCTCCTCCTCCTCCTCCTCCTCCTCCTCCTCTCCTCCTCCTCCCTCCCTCCTCCTCCTCCTCCTCCTCCCTCCTCCCTCCTCTCCTCCTCCTCCTCCTCCTCCTCCTCCTCCTGTTCCGCCTCATCCTCCTCCTCCTCCTCCGCCCCGTCCTCTCCAAACTCCTCCTCTCCCTCTTCCGCCTCCTGCTCCTCCACCCACACGCATCTATCCGTAGATGATTAGTTTCCTTCCTCCTCATTCTCTTCACGTCTTCCTCTTCATCCTCTTCTTGTTCCCCTCGTCATGTTCCTCATTGTGATCCTCTTCCGCCTACTCCTCCTTCGCCTCCACATCCTCTACCTCGTCCTCCTCCTCCCCCGACCCCTCTCATCATCAGCATCATCTGGGTAGCTGTCGTCGCCATCAGCACCACGATCATCAGCACCTGCATCATCTTCAGCACCATCCTCATCATCATCAGCGACATCAATATCATCGACACCAACGTCATCATTATCCTCGACCCCTCGCATCCTCGTCACTTTTTTCTCAACCATCCTGTGGTGCTGGGCCCTCGTTTTGAACAGACAGCCCCTGCGTCTCCTCTCCTCCTCTCATCCTCGCTCCCCTTCCTCCTCCGATCCCTGCCCCTGCTCTCCGAACCAACCCATCATTTTGGCACACCCCTCATACGTCCCGTGGCCCCACAAGGGGGCCCACCGAAGGCCCAAGTGTCAGCGTTCGCATGTGCCCACCGCGCCCATTTTGGCACACCTTCACGCGCGTCGCTGCCACATAGGGAGCCCCACCGACGACCCAAATGCCAGCGTACGCATGCGGCCGCCGCGCCCATTTTGGCACACACACACACACACCACACGTTTCGTGGCACCACGGAGAACCCCACCGAAGGCCCAAATGCCAGCGCTCGCACTCGGCCACCGCGCCCGTTTTGGCACACACGCACACACACACACCACACGCTTCGTGGCTCCATACGGAGCCCCACCGAAGGCCCAAGTGCCAACGTTTGCACGCGGCCACCGCACACATTCTGGCACTCTCCTCGCGCGCTTCGTGGTCACACAGGCAGCCCCGCCGAAGGCCCAAATGCCAGCGTTCGTATGCGGCCACCGCGCGCATTTTGGCACACCCTTCACACGTTTCGCGCCTCCATAGGGCACCTCACCGAAGGCCCACATGCCACCGTTCGTACGCGGCCGCCGCGCCCATTTTTGCATGCCCCTCACACGTCTCGTGGCCCCATAAAAAAGGGGGCCTCGACGAAGGCCCAACTGCCAGCGTTCGTATGCCGCCACCGCACGCATTTTGACACACCCCTCACGCGTTTCGTGCCCCAAAAAGGAACTCCCCCGAATGCCCAAATGCCAGCGTTCGCATGTTGTCACCGCGCCCATGTTGGCGCACCCCTTCGCACGGTTCGTGGCCCCGCAGGGAACCCCATCGAAGGCCCGAAGCCCAGCGCTCGCATGCGGCCGCCGCACCCATTTTGGTGCACCCCTCACACGTTTGGTAGCACCGTAGGGAGCTCCTCCGAATGCGGTGCACACAACGACGGGGCTCACACCTGCAGATGGTTGGGCCCTTCGCCAGGCTAAGTGACACGTCTTCCTCGTCAATCGACCTGCTCCTCCTCCTTCTCCTCTTCCAGCTGCTCATACCCCCCCGCCCGCGTGTTCTTCGTCCGCCTTCTCCTCCCCCCCCTGCCCCTTCCACCGCCTCCTCTCACCTCCTCCTCCTCGCCGCCCTCCTCCTCCTCCTCCTCAAGCGCTCGTGCTGATGATGTCTCTAACCCCAGCCACTGCTGCAGCTGTTCTCGCCGCCGACGCCGCTGCCGTCGGGCTTCGCTGCCGAAAGAACGCGGGCGGCTGAGGAAGCCGTCGCGACGGGAGCCCTCTGCCAGCTCTGGGCGCGAGGAGGGGGAGGAAGGCGTGGAACACCGAGGCGCGCAGCTGGGGAGCAACAGGAACACCTATTCGGCCAGCAGCGGGGGGGCAGGGGAACTGAAAAGGAAACAAGCATTGTGGCAACTACATACAGG